AAAACATAAAATTCCTATTTTTATAATTTGGCATTATTTTAATCCAATTTAAAACATCGTCGTAGCTTAGTTTTTTTGTTGCACTTTCTCAATTATTATATCTATTCTGTTAAACGTCAACATTGTCATATATATCTAAATGCCATAAAATTAGAAGAAATTTGGCTCGTCTTAGCTTAGCTTAGTTAACATACATAAAGCCCGTTTGGTGACCCTGTTTTTCGACTTATCAGACTTATCAGTCAACTTTTCACCAAATACGTAACTTTTTATTTCGCGCGCTGGAATGTGTAAAAATAAGAAAAAGTAAGGTTGAATATATTTTTCTGACTATATTGGCTGAAGTTATTATAGAGGATTGTTTGAGCTATTTCGTCCTATAATTTTTCTTTATTTAGTTAATAAAATATATTTTAAATATAATTTTTTCTTAAATGAGTCAATCCACATATTTAGAACTTTATAAATTTGTAAAAGAATTAGCAATGAAGCCGATTTAAATATTACCAGGGGCTCCTAAAGTTATTTTTTTTTTTAAATATTACCAAGGGGCTCATAAAGTTATTAATCACTTTTACCGACAGAAACATAAACTCGGGACGAAACGGCAGGAAAGGAGTGTTGAAAAAACCACTCCACACTGCTTAACAGAATAATCATAGTAACAGTACTGCTACTCACAATTGCCAGTCAAACAGAACAATAGTTTCACCTCACCTCTGACTCTCTCTCTCAGTTCCAGACCCGCCGCCGTTTCTCTGCAATAGCCGACGTGCCGGAAATTGGACCTTTCTCACCGCGAAAGCGTCAGCCGGCATGTGAGTGTACCAAAACCATCAGATCAGGTATTTTTATCTCTTAACTTTCTTTTGGGCAAGAATATAACCAGATTCTATAAAGGAAACGAAGGTAAGGAAAACATCAGTGACCCCTTTCGTGAACACACAAAAATCTTGAAATCCCAGATTTTGATTTTTAATTTCTTTTGCTTCTTTTCTTTCATATTTATATATCTGATTTCGCAGGAGAATTCTAGGGTCGTTAAGGTGGAGAACTCTGTTAAAAAGGGTGAAAGGTGAAGTTCTGTTAGAATTAGCAACCTCCAAAGTGGTATAGTTTATCAAAACCCTTTAAAATTCCTGGGGTTATTTGTTGTGTGCAGAACTGAGTGTTGAGGCGTTTTGGCGATGGCTGATGCGTCCGTGTTTCTAATTCCTTAAACAAGTACCTCAAGTTTGTCAAACCTGTAATTGAAAAGGGATGTTTTTTACCATCTTCTTCTGTCATGATGTGGAATTTCAAGCTTCCTTATTTTGTCTTTGTTCATTTTTATAGGTGTTTATGTTTGACAAACTTTTCTGTTTGGAATCCATAATTGCTAGTTTCTGTAGTGGAGTTGGTGTTTTTTGTTCTTCCTTCTTTCCTTGCAAAACATCCATATGGATGTGAGGAGTTATTTTATTTCCATCTAGATGTCTCCAATGGCAGAAAAGAGTATGAATCCGTTAAGGCTTCTTTCATTCCTTATAGCCATTTCTTTGTTTCTATTAACCATCTCTTCTTTTTCCCTCCTCCACTTTGATACCAAATATTTCATACCCAAATCAGTTCTCCAGTTAATTCTCATTAACAACATCACTTCAGATAATTGGAATTCAAGCACTACCCGTGCTGAAACCGAGATGCCTTTGCTTCCTAATTCCAGTAAAAAACCTAACAGAGTGTGTGAAGGGAGGAATCAAACTATTCTTAGAGTCTATATGTATGACTTGCCGCCTGAATTCCACTTTGGGCTATTAGGATGGAAAGGAAGTAGGAACGATAAAATATGGCCTGATGTGGACGAGCTGAGCAAAATCCCACGATATCCAGGTGGGTTGAACTTACAGCACAGCATAGAGTATTGGCTCACCCTCGACCTTTTATTGTCAAATACCTATTATACCCCAACTGTTTTTAGTAGACCATGCACGGCTGTGAGAGTTCGAAACTCAACCGAAGCGGACGTGATATTTGTACCGTTTTTCGCTTCCCTGAGTTACAACCGCCATTCAAAGGTTCAGAATGATGGTGAGATCAGCAAGGACCGACTGCTGCAACATAGAGTGGTCGAGTTTTTGAAAAGTAGAGATGAGTGGAAGCGGTTTGGTGGGAGGGATCATCTTGTGGTGGCTCACCATCCTAATAGTATGTTGTTTGCTAGGAAGAAGCTGGGTTCTGCCATGTTTGTACTTGCAGATTTCGGAAGATATCCGGCTGAAATAGCAAATATAGGAAAGGATGTGATTGCTCCTTACAGACATATGGTGAAGACAATAGATGCTGGGATTTCACGCCCATTTAAACAACGCCCTATATTGGTCTACTTTCAAGGCGAAATATACAGAAAAGATGTAAGTTGATTAAGCTCTTGATTTTTTTTATTCACTTAATACATAGTTGTTTGTATTTATATTGTAAAGCAAAACCAAACTAAAATAAAGAATATAATCCAATCTATCAGCTACTTCAATTTCAAGTCTTATTACACCCATTATTTTTTCTTTCATTTTTCAAGAAGAGATTCTGATAGTCTCCCTCAAGAAAACTGGGTCATTTTGAATCAACTTAGTTGGTGACTTGCAAACTAAACTCCTCTCTCTTGAAACTAAAACTCGAAATGAAGTTAAACAAAGGCAACCAAAACCTGCTTTAGTTGTCATGCCATGGTAGAATTCAAGATTGGATTGGGGTTTACTTAACTGGGTCATAAACCACACTAATCTCTTAGCTAGTTCGACTCAATGTCTATGAGCTTATCAATTTCTCTTTTATTCTCCTATATGGGATTATATGAGTGTTTTTTCTTATTGACAGGGTGGAGCCATTCGCCAAGATTTATATTACCTGCTTAAAGATGAAAAAGATGTCCACTTCACATTTGGTAGCACTCAATCAAATGGTATCAGATCAGCTAGCCAGGGAATGGCTTCATCAAAGTTCTGTCTGAACATAGCTGGAGACACTCCTTCCTCAAACCGACTCTTTGATTCCATTGTTAGTCACTGTGTCCCAGTGATCATAAGTGATGACATTGAGCTGCCATATGAAGACGTGCTTGATTATTCTGAATTTTGTATCTTTGTTCGAGCTTCAGATGCTTTGAGGGAAGGCTACCTTTTGAGTGTTCTTAGAGGAATCCAGGAAGAAAAGTGGACCAAAATGTGGGAAAGACTAAAAGAGATCACCATACATTTTGAATACCAGTACCCATCCCAACCTAATGACGCTGTCGATATGATTTGGCAAGCGGTTTCAAGGAAAAAGTATTCCATACAACTGAAGACTAATCGGGATAACAGATACCATAGATCAGAGCTCTTCCTGAAGAGCCAATGACACATTAAGATTGCTTTATAAGATATACTATGTATTTTACATCTAAGATGGATGTAAAAACCTTATAGATTCCATGTTAGGCTTTACCTTATAGAATACTGTATTATTATTGTTTTTATATCCGAGTGGTAAAAACCTTTGATGACAAGGTTTTTGAATTTCATATATTCATAAAATTATACCTTCATAAGGAGGTGGCAACAGGATTGGTTTCAGGTGGGGAAATTTTGCTGTCTTTGCATGAATTTTAAATTTTGATGACTAGTTTTTGACAACTACTTGACATTATAGTTATGATTAAGGTGGTGGTGGTGGTGAAATAAAATCACATAATCTTTTTGGTGAATAATCTATTTACTTGGAAATCTTCAAAAGCTTTGTATTTGGCAATATGTCGCCTTTTGATTGATTGATTGTAAGGGTGTTTTCACATTTCAGTTCCACATGATTGATTGATTGTAAGGGTGTTTTCACATTTCAGTTCCACACTGAATCAGAACCTATTAGACTTAAATAGACTTCATAAACTTCACCGGATAATAGTAGACTTCTTTCAATAGTTTTATGGGATACTTTCTTAAAGAGGAGTAAATAAAAGTTAGATTATAAAAATAGGAGTCGATGTTTAAAGGGCCCTAAATAGGAGATATTATTTGTGAATGAACAAAACCCCCTTTAAGGTGTTAAGGCTTGGTCACCAAACTGCCACTGCCAGCCACCTGAATCCTAAAATTGTTCGCCGCCGGCCGCCGTATCCCGGCGTCAGAACTCTGCTGGCCACATGATCTCTGAACTGTCGCCCTTGAATTGCCATCACCGCATCTAGACTGCCGCCACTGCCATCAGACTGCTTAGGGGACAATTAATTATATTAGGAAAGGTAAATCTAAAACAATAGTCATATTTAGAGAATAAAAATGTCAACTCCTGCTTGGAAATTTAAGTAATACTTTGCCCCTATAAAATTTCCCTAGTTTGATCTTAAAACACTCGTGTCAATAACCAGAGCTAAATTTTCATGTAATTTGCCAAACAAAAAGTTACAGGCATGTTCAATATGATAGATTTAGTTAGACCTAGAAAACATAAATTGAAGATTCCATAATTTTTACATTTTTTAGAAGTATACTTCGCCAAAGTTCAAAAGTTGTACAATGACCAATTTTTTGAGGACTGAGAATATGACGTTAAAGAAGACATGCAATCCGTGTGGTGATTCTGGTGAACCATAGCTGTAGCAAAAACCTTGTATCCTTTTCAGGTAGATGGTATAAACAAATGTATTCCATATACTTCCAAATCCTCATCATCTTTGTTTTTTTGTCAAAATTTAGCCTTGTTGACTAATTAACTATGAATTTCACTCCAGTGACCGAAATAATAGTTGTGATTAAGCTCAATGCAACTCTTCTCCTCTAACATATATTACCTTGTTTTTTTTCTTTTAACATATAATCACATGATGAGCAACCATAGCATGAAACTAAAAGGTGAATTCTACTACCGACTACCGAGTAATTTGGAAGGTAAATTTGCTGTATTTTGTTACAAGTCCTCATGAACTTTGTTGTTTGCTCTAGTTTTTTTATTAAAGAACAAGTGAATACACTAATCACTCCGCATTGAAAACAGAAATTTGCTCATTCTCTTTACCAATAGAAAAGCTTTAGAGAGATCCATATTTTTTATACATGGATGAATGACTGAGTTAAACATATCCGACATCTGGAAGAATCTGAAACCAAATAGTTTGCAAATATGAGAACGCAGGAAAGCAAATGTTACTAGCAGAAACCCATCCTGGACAACATGAGGAAAACTGGAAATGGAACCCAGTGTATGACATTGACGGTATTACTTAACAGTTAAGTAGTTAAGATAAATAATTGCTAGCATACTATCAGCAGTTAGTATTCTGGGCGGGGTCTGATCCTCTCTGTACATGGAACTGCTCTTTGGTAGTTTACCTTCTTCCCTTCTGAGGGAATACATCCTCTCATATAAGAATCAGACACAAAGAGCCTCAACGATTGTTGAATAAGAAGCCGAGAAGCGCTGGCACATGCCTGGGTGGTGGCAACAAACAACATCTTAATGGCTTGCGAGACAAATGACATCACATGCCCAACAACAAATACATAGTTTAATCCAAAAGAAATCTGTATACAACAAAATTACCTAAGTGCCGCAAAGGCTCCCACCTACGGTATGGGATGTACGCAGCCTTACCCTTGTACTAAAGCAAGGAAAAATTATTTCTGGATGAAAAAGAAATTTGTATATAAACAAATATAAAAGGCTAACCTACAATAGGCACAATAAGACTATTAGTTCATACAAATATATACTGCACTAACAAGAGCTCTACATACTCCTAATACATAATAAGCTTTCACGTTTTGACTCCATATAAACCGTTGGAAGGTTGTAAGGTCAAGTAGCATTGCAGGAACACTTAGATTGTCTTTGGGTATATGTTCATATTTGTATTTGGTTGAACTCGTGAAATAATGTAACATAAATATGTGGTTGGAAATGTGGGTTTTTACTGTTTTATATCAAAATGAGCATAAATGTCTGCAAATAAAACTTAATTGTAAATAACTGGTACCGGTGTATGTATAAGCAAATAAACACAGAGAATGGAAGTCTAAGAGGGTAAAATGGGAGCATTTCAAGATTATCCAATATTACACAAGAAATAGAATATGATCAAATTACGCTCTACATTATCTACAAAAAAAGTAAAGTTACATATCTCAGGTAAGCTAAAACTTTAAATCAAACAAGTTAAATATAGTATCATTTTGGTCACACTTTAAAGAAGGTAATATTAAACGTTTACACGAGGGGTGATCATTGACCTGATTGACAGATGAAGGCAGAAAGCAGCTTTGTTGATCCCAATAAATCAGAACCATTTTTAACAACCTGTAGTGTCAATTGCACATGTACCAACTACATTCAGACCGACTGCATCTAAGCAGGCTAGGTGCCACTTGACCATCCGCGGGCTAGTGACTTTTGCATCACTGCTTCCAATCTCAACATACCAACACCAATAACTCTTCCTGTTTTTACCTCTGTCTCTCAGCATACCCACATGTGTTGCCAACAAACCAAGGAGAGAAGTCAATGAATAGAATTCTAACATGAACTTAATAAGCATTAGTATCAACTATCAACGAAATGCAGATAAAAGCTAATAATGGAGTGACCTAAATGCAGAACATGTAGGAAGATAGGCCAAAGCATATACCAATTAAGCATATACCAATTCTGTCAAGGGAAGCAGAATTCTCAGAATCGAGGATATCAAATACAGTGGTTCCATATGTCCTCCTCAATGAATGTTAAAGAGAACTTGAGTTCACAAAGCAGGCTATAAGTAAAAAAAATCACAGATTTATCATTCCTTAGAATCACTCTGAGCCAACCCTGTAATATAATCACAATAAACTTATTAACCATATTCATATTTCCTGAAGTCCAACTCTTGCTCACATTACTTTAGCTTGAATTTAATGACAACGTCATACCAGATAAAAATGTTTCCATAAGGAGTGCCTCAAAGGACCCCCCAATGCCCCATGAATGCTATAAGTCAATCATCTAAAATATGTATTTCACTCTTCCATTTCTTCCACCAAGAAAAGGCTCTATGAAAACGTTGTCTATTTTAACATCATATATTTTCTTTTGATACATGATTTACAAGAACATGATCAATAAAGCGATAGTGAGTGGATGAAGTGAACTTCATCAAATCCATCAATGTACAATGTTTGCTCCAAAGCAATATCTTGCTGATTTTTCTCACCCTACTTTTTTCTTTCAGACTGCTTAACAAAAAAAATACACACACACATAAGTATATGACTATATGTTCTTTAGGACTAGTAAATTATGCAAAACTAACTTGCCTTAAATATGTTTTTTTTACTGATCGTTACTGCCATCTTAATGCCCGACATGCCAAAATATGGAAGTATAATTTCAAAATGACATTAATTACTCTTATTTAAGGGGGTAAAGATAGTAGTCCTATTTTCAAATTTCACATTGTTTTACTCCTATTTTGAAAATTTTCTCATATGAAAATAACAAATGCTACAACTGATAGATACAATTATCTTAGTAAGACATTGGATCAAGGAGCCGGCTAAGGCAAACTGAAGATTAGAGATTGGACGGCTACACATGAGGAAGCCCGAAGACTAGGTCACATCCATCAGCTCTCAAATATTATACAGTTGTAACATTAATTGTTAAATATTATGGAGTATGTAATGATCGGCCATCATTTCATATTGTATTGAAGGACTAATACATTGGAAGGGTCATACACATATACTTGGTTCCAACCCGATATATATACCTTCATTTTTACACACTCACATACTGAAATATAGGTATCATCTCACTTGTTCAATTGTTCTTATACTACCTCCATCTCAAAGGGCATTGCCAACTTTGAGTTGTGTGTGAAATAAGAAAAGTAAACCTCAAGTGTTAGAGGTTTGTGCTTGTGCAGAAAGAGAGAAGTAAGCAGAAACGCAACTTAATTTAAAAGAAAAGTGACAATGTTTTTGGGACAAACAAAAAAGAAAAATTGACAAAGTCCAATAGACAAAGGGAGTTTTTAATACAAATCTTATTCCAGGCTTCATATTATCTATTTGTATGTGGTGGGTTCTATGTTAAGACATCCCATTGATAACTCAACAACAGGCAATTGCTACTATTACCACTCTATTAACATGTTGAAATTGGTGTGCACTTTTATTTTATATAATTATTTTTACCGCTTTTAAATATTATAGGTCTGCTGAATGCTTCTTCATGTTTATACGATTATCATTTATTTTGCTTTGCAGTTGCATTATAGTTCTGCTGACTATTTTTATATGTTGATGTCTTACAAGTTTAGCATTTAGAAAGGATCAAAGGGGTAGGAGAATTTCTACCACAAACACATAATTGGAATGTAATTTGGGCTTGTATTTTGCAAAAAGAAAGACCTATGGTCATAACTCACAACTATGACACTTAATTTTATCAAACTTCAAAATGACTAGAAATATTTATAGCACATAACTATACTCTCATCCTTTTGGGGGCTCTAAAATCACTAGATGCATTGCTAGACACTGCTAGACACGATTTGCTAATAACCAACGCCCAAGAAGAGATAGCAAATCTTGCAGTATGATATATTGGCACCAAAAGCACTTAGATCCATTTGAAACGGATGCCTCTGCTTCTACAATCATAAAGATGCCACTATCTTCTGTATTAATTAAACTGATAAACCATTCCCTAAGCAGCAATCTCCAACAATATCTTATTCAAAACACCATCTCTTTCAGATCCTGAGCCACAAAGCTCTTGGACTAATGCAGAGAAAGTGAATTTGTTTGGGGAACAATTATTATCTATCATCTCCTGTAGAACTCTGATTCCTTCAGTTGGATTACCGACTTTACAAAATCCCCTAATCAGCATGCTATAAGTAAAAGCATTAGGTATGCACCCCTTATCAACCATGTCATCCCACAGCCTCCCAGCTTCAAGTATCTCTCCATTCTCACTCATTCCTGCAATTAATGTGTTGTACATCAAAACACTGGGAGCCGAACCTCCCTCAAGCTGATCAAATAATTTCTTTGCTTCCCATATTTGTCCCTCCTTGCACAGATGATATATGAGTGTGCTTGATATTGCATTATCAGGGGTGCAGTTCTTTATCAACAATTTTTTCCACAGATCACATGCCTCTTTGACCTTTCCTGCTTCGCACATAGCATCAATAACCCTACAGCAAAGTGATCCACTAGGTGGATATTTGTTATCAAGCATATCATTAAGCAAGTTGACTGCTTCACCTGTTCTCTTCCCAGCACACAAAGCCTCTATCATCACTCCATAACTTACATCATTTGGTTTGACCCCATTGTCCTCCATCTCATCCATCACCTTCACTGCATTCATCAATTTCCCTTTCTTGACGAAGCCGTCCATCAAAATGGTATACGTTGTTGCATCAGGCAGACATCCTTTATCAAGGGTTTCCTTCAACATTCTCTCAGCACCCACCATATCGCCAATAAGAACAAAGCCACCTAGAATGGTGGTATAAGTAACAACATTTGGAACTATTCCCATTGCAGGCATTTCATCCAAAATTCCAATTGCACCACCAACATCACCTTTCTTACACAGAGCCTTCAATAAGATATTACAAGTGACTACATTGGGCACAATGTCTAACTTCTTTCTACAATTCTTAAACAAGATGTGCACAAGATCATACTTTTTGTTATTAACCAAAGCATTCAACAATGTATTAAAAGACTTCACTGACCTTACTATTCCGAAATCTTTGATTTTCAAGAAAGACTTAATGGCCTGCTTTGGTTTGCTTGCAATGCCATAGTTTCGGATAACTGTGACAAACAGATTCTCCGAACAAGTGATGTTAGTATGCCGTAACTCAGCCAAAAGGGTATCCACGGATTCAAAGGCACGAGCTCGACAAAGCTTGAGGATGATGCGGTGGTAGGTTTCATAATTATGGGAAAACCCAGGGTGGTATTTACCTGCGTGGTGGAAGATGTGGAGAGCCATGTTTGGGTCATTTTGGCAGGATATAAGAGAAATGAGTCGTTTATGGGTAAGGTTCCGAGGCCAGGGTTGGATAGGTGGCGTGACTGTGTATGATTGGAGAAGTTCTCCCTTGGACTTAATGGAAGAAAGGTGGTGGTAGCACGGGTGTGCCTTGAAGGGATCATCTTCGTGTTCAGCAGCAGCAGTATAAATAGTGGCCACCGAACTGATGCAGTTTAGAATCACTGTGGTAGATGGCAGCTGTAGGCAGTGGCGGTACATCCGGGGACGCAACATCACTGCCAATGGACCGGCAAACCTTCAAAAACTCAAAAGCATAATGTTATTGTAGATTCAAGTGGCGTAGCCGGCACATAACATGGGCCTGGCCCCTAGGCCTAATTAAAGAGTGGAAATAATGCATTTATATAACTATATTTCAACTTTATCTGATTTTGTTTTACTATTTTTACACACAATTTCGTATTGCAGCCTTGTAGGTACCCCAAATTTACTTGGAAAGTAATAATTTGATTAAATTGGGATGAGCAACAGCTCATTTCAACATAATTTTAACAAAATTTCACATGCTATATAAAAGTAGACATACGAAAGGTGTTGGGATCTCTAGTTATTTGAAAACTTCAAGAGAATTTAAGAGATCTGTGAAAACATCAAGAGAATTTAAGAATTTTCTAAATGAATGTCGAGAAGTATTCAATGATATAAAATATTCTAGATCATTTTAGAGAGGTGAAGAATAATCTAGAAAAGTGTGGAATATTTTAGAACATTATGGAGCTACTAACAAAACTGTGAAATTTTGTAGAACTGTGTGGAAATGTGTGAGAGCCTCTAGAACACTTTGCATAAATGTGTAGTCGTCTAGATTCTTTTATAAGATCATAGAAGTTTGTAGGTACTTCTTGGAAGATTAAAGAAGCGTAGAGGGAGGGAGGGGGGAATAGAAGGTTTTAGAGAAATATTAACATATTAGTATAAATAGGGGTTAAACTCCTTATTCATAAGCAATTTTGATGACAACTCTTAGAAAGTGAAGGTGTAGCCTTCTCGAGGAAGGTGAAAGATAACATTTTTTGTGAAAGAAGAGAATCCAAACATATCTCGTGTGAAGTGTAGATGAAGAACTTACTTAGGGTGAAAGGACACAATCTAAGATGGTTTTTCGTTTTTCGTAAGTGTAAGTGAAGTTGGATGAAATAATCTCAAATAGAAAGAGTGAAGTAAGTTACTTTAAACTAGTTAAATCTCTATTATACTTGTATAATATAAAGTCATATTATCATAATCCCTCCGTCCCTTATAACTTTGACAAAGTTGACTGGCATATAGAATAATAAAGGGAAAACAGTGTGGTTAAGGTTCATGCGGAAAAGGGAAAGTGGTAAAGTAGTGAGACAATAAAAAAAAAAGTTTGCAAAGTTAGAAAGGATGAAGTGAATATTAAATCTTTGTGTTATGCATGCATAAATGACTGTACAAGAATCTTGCCGTGATAGGTGAGATTATATTTCCCCTATGAAGTGTCACTTGACCGGGTGTCCAGGGTCGACCCCCCCCCCCCCCCAAACTCCTAATCATATACAAACATCAGTAATAAAACACAAAATTCCCTTCTTTACTATAACTCCTACTTGGTGGCAGGAACTTAGGACAGAATGGTTAAATAGCAAATGCAGATGGGTCCTTCTTTCAGAGGGGCGTCACTAAATCTTTACAAGTTTGACGTAAATGTTAATTTGATTCTGAGAGAACTAAAGGCAAACAATTCGCTAACTCATATATTAAAATATGCCAAGTAAAAGTTTTCAGCCTTGAGTGACCAATTTTGCCAATCAAATTGGGTTACTACAAATAGGCTAACTACATATCAAAATATTAAATAGCTCTAATTAGGCATAAGTACTCATTACCAACCCTGGCTAATCGGACTCAAGGTTCTTAAAGGCTCCAGCAAAGTAGGCGAGCAACATATTGTGGAGAGGACTAGAAACATAATATATTCAGAACAGATGTCAAATTAGACAATCACTGAAGAACTGACTTACCAGAATTGGACTCTCGTCTTCCGTTGTCGAAAAGCACTTAGCAGGTTCGGGTGAGCCGAGCTTGTCGGAAGCTAGATATGATGGTCTTCTGATGCAAAGGCCCGCCAGAACCCTAACTACTAAAGCGTCACCGGAATTGAACGTTTGATGTCGATGTCAAATCACAACAAAAGAAAGTGTGCAAACTGAATGTATGGAGACCGAAACTCACTGAAACCCCCCAAAAATTTGTCTTCGGGTACACAAGATGTACACATATTGTACATCATATAAAAACCTCCAAAAATTACCATTCCATTTACCCCACCTTCTCTCCTCTCTTTGTTTCCCTCCCACTCCCCCTTCCTGTTGCTTATTTTTGCACGCAAACAAACGCAGCAAAAAACCACTGTTCACTGAAGCTTCTTCTTCCTCCTGTTCTCTTCACATCTCGACGGAGGAAGTATACTTAGACTTGAGGAATGGATTATACTCTTGAGGAGATGGCCTTCATCAGTAGTTATGACATGGCTGATTTTATGGGACCTAAAGTAGACGAAGGCGGCTCCGTGTCTGAACCTCCGGCGATACAAGAAGGTGAGCCCTGTACGAAAGACGTCGGCGACGGAGAGGAAAAGCAGATTCTGGAGGTTGATGATGAAGAAGGTACGTGGAACGTAATGTCTGTGAGGACAGGCATTTCGTGTTTTCAGTGCCTGTAGAACTGAATGACATTGTATTTGTATACTCTAACATTCATTAATGGCACTCCATGATTTTGAAGTAAAAGTGTTGTATTCGTATTGTATTTTTGATGTAGTAAATGTTGATATTCTATTGCTTGTGCACACAGATGAAATAAAGTAAATGTGTTTTGCTATTGCCTGCCCACAGACGTTTATATTTTTAATAATCAATTTTTATATATGTGTTCTCTCATACCCGGATAACACTAATGTAGATGGTGGTACACCAGACGTCCATGTAGAAGTTGGGATGTTGTTTGCGGGAAAAGATGAAGCCTATGATCATTATAAGAATTACGCCAAACGTATAGGTTTTCCCATTAGGATTAGGAGCTCAACGAAAGACAAAGAAGGAAACGTAACAGGAATGTTAATTGAATGTGGTCGTGCTGGAAATAGAGTTTCAAAGTCAACAAATTGTTTGATGCCTGCAGCTACTAGTGCAATGGGTTGCAAAGCCCGAATCAAAGTAATGTATGACTATGCCGGGTCATGGGTTATTTCGAAAGTGCATGAACAGCATAACCACCCTATGAGTCCTACCAAAACTAGAGCTTTTCGTTGCAATAGGAGATTGACTATGAGCGCGAAGAGAAAAATTGCAATAAATGCGGTTGCCGGAATTCCTCTTCACAAAACCTACACCTCTGCCGTAGTAGAAGCCGACGGTTATGAGAATTTACCGTTCATTGAAAAGGATTGTAGGAACTACGTTGACAAGTTTCGCCGCTTGCGTTTAGGAAATGGTGATGCCATTGCAATTCAAAGTTTCTTTTACAAAATGCAAGCGGAGTGCCCCGGTTTTTTCTTTGCCCTTGATGTAGATGAAGAATCTCGCCTTCGCAGTGTATTTTGGGCGGACAAGCGATGTCGGTATGCTTATAGAGATTTTGGAGATGTGATAACTTTCGATACAACTTATCTCACCAATAAGTACGACATGCCATTTGCACCTTTTATAATTAATTATAGATATAATTATAATAATTACAATTGATATACTTATAATTATAAGAGTTATAATTGTAAGTATAATTATAATTACATATAACTATAATATAATATTATAATAATATTAATCATATTATTATTATAATATTGTAATAATAATAATAGTCTTCTTAATAATTGCATTTATATTACTATTATTATATTAAAATATTATAACTATATTAATATCTTATTTTTTTATCATATTATTATTAATATTATTAATAATAATTATATAATAATAATCATAATAGTAATAACAATAATAATAATAATAATTAATATAATAATAAAAGTGATAAATCATGTTTGAACTTTTCTGATCTGATCTGATCTGAATGTTTCTGATCTGAATGTTTCTGATCTGGTCTGATCTGATCTGAATCTTTCTGATCTGATCTGAATCTTTCTGATCTGATCTGATCTGATCTGATCTGATCTGAATCTTTCTGAGCTGATCTGATCTGATCTGAATCTTTCTGATCTGATCTGAATTTTTCTGATCTGATCTGATCTGAATAAAATAAGAATAAGTAATAAGTAATAAGAATAAGACGAACAGAACAGCACCTAAACCACCATGGGCAATCCATCTTGTTTGGTTGTGGCTTAATTTCAAATGAGGACACCGACACATTTGTGTGGTTGTTTACAAAGTGGCTTGAGTGTATGGATGGTTGTTGTCCTAGTGGAATTATTACCGATCAAGATAGGGCAATGCAAAATGCCATTCAATTTGTGTTCCCAAATACAAGACATCGGTGGTGTCTATGGCATATAATGAAGAAGGTGCCTGAGAAGTTGGGAGGGTTGACTGATAAAGATGAAGTTAGTGCTTGTTTACATGATGCTGTTTATGACTCCCAAACGGGTGCACAATTTGAGTTCGCATGGAGTTCTATGTTGCAAAGGTAAGCATTTGTTTTGTACAAGTTATGTTCAATATTACAACTATTGTAACATTCATGTTTTGTAATGTGTAGGTTTCATCTTAATGACCACAAATGGCTACATGTGCTTTACAATGAAAGATATCGGTGGGTGTCATGCTACTTGAGGCCAACTTTTTGGGCAGGGATGTCAACGACCCATCGGTGGCTGAACTTGCTACTAAAACGTGAGATAACTAAACAATAATTTTTTAAATAAAAACAAAATAATTCAAGTGTTCCAGTTTTACCAGACACCAGGAAGGGAGAAGGGGTTTGTCCATCCACCTCCAAAGGAAGCATCCCGATTTTACTAGCCACCGAGAAAGGAGTCATCTCAATTACGGGACCTTGTTGTATTTTAGGTGGTGGTGTTCTGGGAGCACTGTCGCCTTGCCGTTTTTTTATCCATTGCCATCAACCTGCTTCATTAATGGCAAATAAAATGAATGTCGGATCCGAAACAGAGAAAAAGGAGTAGCAGAATTCACGAACAAAAGCACAAACAAGTTCAAAATTGGAGTGGACCAAACCCTCAGTCAGAGAAAATTTAACTGGACGAAATAAAATTGAGCAGAAAATTAGTTGGAAAAGAAATCACAAGCGATGAGAAAAGCTAACAAGAGATCACCAAAATTACCCCAAATACCATCCAAATTTGTTGCTAAGATGGAAGAAGAAAAAGAAGATAAGACGTCTACCACACCCTTCTAGGTAGATCAGATTTCCGTCACACCTCTATGGTTTGTCCATCATCGATCGCCATAAATCTCAATTCTTAATCATGCTGATTTTTACTTTTGTCATTCACACTTAAATCTTAATGGGATAAGGTCATTAAAGTCATACACTATCTATGCACATACATTATAGAGGCCGTTTGACAACACTGTTTTTCGGCTAATCAGGCTTATCAGCCAGTTTTTTACCAAATACGTAACTTTTGCTTTCGCGCGCTGAATTGTCTAATAAGCAGAAAAAGTAAGGTTGGAGTTACTTTTCTGGCTGTATTGGCTGAAGTTACTGTAGATGACCATTTTAGCTATTTTTACATATAATTTTTTCTTTATTTTTTTAAATAAAATATACTACGTATTTTAAAAATAATTTTTTCTTAAATCAGCAGAATCAGCCAATGCGGCCACTTCATCTAGAACTTCATGAATTTCAGCAAAAACAACCAAATAAGTCGATTTTCGTGCTGCCAAACAGGCTATTATACATTTGAAGGGCAAGCAAAACCGCAGGATTGAGTTTCACAGCCCAGCTACCCCTCTAACGGACTGCCTCCCACCTATCCTAAACATTTGATAAAGGTTGTCACTGCATGAAAACGCGAGTGAATGGTTCTGCTATCGAACTTGCTGCAGTTGGAAATTAGAATTCCAGTGGAGTGTGAATGAGTTTTGGTAGTAAGTTACCAACTTTATGTGGTGTTATCGCCTTATCGGGCAGAAACCCGAGCATGGTAAGGATGAGAAGAAGAAAGCCGAGCAAGTTCATCTTTTCAAATGTGCGTGTACACACTAGTTGTACATGACATTTTACACGTTAATCAAATTGTTTGTGCATATACGATTTTTTTTTTCATTTTGTGAAGAGAACATTGTTTCGGACAGGCATTTTTTTCCTTTCCTGTGACAAACACTTTTGTTTGTTGGTATGAAAAGCGTTTTTCTTGACCAAACGAAAAAATTGTTTGTTGTTTGTACACAAACAAATTAATTGACGTGTAAAATGTCATGTACAACTTCACATGTACAAATAACATTTCATTTCTCTTGTCTTTATAGTTTATGGCTATGTGTATTAATTTTCTCCTAGCTATCAATGTTATACGGTCTAGATAGTCGAACTCATAAAATTATAGAGAAAATCATAGTACTAGATAGTCGAACTCATAACATTATAGAGAAAATCATAGTACAACAACGTACAAAATCATTTCTAATCTTATAAAGGCCCTGATTAGTAATCAACAATTTTTGGTTGTATCAGCGATTTTGACTGATTGGTTGGTTTGGCGTTTGACCCACCGATGATGTTAGTGAATAGTAAAAAATGTTTGATTAATTAATTGTTTGGACATAACTTTTTCTAGATAAAATTACATATTACATATAAGGACATATAATATTTGGATGAGAATTTAGATACCCTCTCAAACACCGTTAACAAAAAATATCTCCGAGTGCATAAAAAAGATCTACGAACAAAAAAATAAATTTTTCCGTCTTTAATCGTAAAAGACCAACACAAAGAAATGAAATGAGCAAAATAAAATGAGTAAGTCATTTGACTAGATCAAACCCAACCATGGCCGTAGATGAGAGCGTGCAAAAAGTGGTACCGCACAAGGCCTCTCGATTTCACAAGACCCAAAATTTTAAATATAGTCTATATATAGTTCGTATAATATAATAAATCTTTATTTATTTGATTAAAAATTCCTATCTTAGTACTTCTTTAAATACAATCATTAAATAGTAATATTTATATGTAATTAAAAATGCAATTGTTAATTACAATTGTGTAATTGTTTATTTCACAAGGCCTAGTTACAGTAATTAGCACAAAGCCCTCGCACAGTTTGGAACGAGCTTGTAACTACTTTCTTTTTCATACTTTGTCATTACTTTACTTTTCTTAATATATTCTCTTTTCTACTTTTCCATTTACCTTACACCTCTACACTACATCTACTATTTTCTTCTTAAAACCCACAAAAAATCTAAGGAGACTATTATTTAAAACCGGTGGAAGTATTAATATAGTGTTTTATACTTGAGGCCTCATATTCAATTTTGCATGAGGCCTTCTACATGTCAGGGCCGGCCTAGAACCCAACCACTTCCAAAAAAAGATCAAACCCACCCACTCTTTAAAAAAAAGAGATCAAACTCACCCACTATTGCCGCAACAGGTAGTAGTTCGTCTGAATCTTCTTCTCAGTCACGTGAGTGTGAGAACAAGTATATAACAATTTTCATACATCTCCACGACTTCACTCCACTAACCTTCACCATATCTTTCTCTAAGCGCATCAGCAATATTGCAGTCTCCACCAACCGAATAAAAAAAGCATTTGAGAAAATGCTTAATAATAAAGTTGATAGTGTTTGAGAAAAAAATTGATTATGAAAAAGTAAAAGTTGATACTTTTTGATAAAATAAGTGTTTTTATGTAATAGAAAAACTGAAAAGCAGTTTCAAGCACCATTTTCTCCTTCTTTCTAGCTTTTAGCTTTTAAGTGTTTAATTTAAGTAGAAATTGTCATTTAAAAACACTCATTTCAATTTTTTTAACCCAAAACCTGAAAAGCACTTATTTTAGTTTGTTGCAAACACTCCTTAAGGGCTACACATGCTTTTGTGCAGATTAAGAAAAACTACTGAACTCAAACGCTGCTCCAACCAGGGTGTTGAGATTCAGTGTTTTGGAACAAAAACACTACTCCACTCCGCTATTTACCAAACGACTCATTCAGTGGTTTGACAAAAATCAAAACGCCAATATATGTTGAAACGCCAAAACATACCTGATCCGCCGTTTCCCAAACACGGAAAAAATCATTCATACAAAAATCATTTACATTCTTATAAAATCATAGTAAAATTGTTAAAAAATCAAAGTAATGATTTTTAGTCAAAATGTTTCTAAATTATTATAACTAATAACTATGCAATTTTGCTATATAATTCCAATAATAAGGTCAATGATATATTTAGAGTCTGTTTGGTAACACTGAAATTGACGAAATTGGCTGATTTTTGCTGAAATTTATGAAGTTCTCGCTGAAGTGGCTGTATTGACTGATTGTGCTGATTTAAGAAAAAAATTAATTTTAAAATATATTTTATTAATAAAATAAAAAAAATTATATGTAAAATATCTAAAATGGTCGTCTACAGTAACTTCAGCCAATGCATCCTAAAAAGCAACTTTAGCCTTACTTTTTCTTATTATTACACAATTCAGCGCACAAAATCAAATGTTACGTTTTTAATGAAAAAGTTGGCTAAAAGCCTCATAAGTCAAAAAGAGGGCCACCAAACGAGCTATTGGTGAAAGTAATGGATACTTGTATTAATTAATTATTTTTGTGGTTTACATATTTTTGATATTTAATGTTCATTTACATTATAAAATAGTTTATAGATCTTTTTATTACCTCATATGTATAGTTTCTAGTCATGAGATGGTCTAGTATTATTAAAATTAAAATGTAGTTTTTTAAATTTTTTTAAATTTTTATACGGAGCATATGCTTTACAAATTCTATGATTTTTCTTCCAAAAAAATAATTTAAAACTTTATAAAATTTTACCGTATTTTTTTGTTTGCTACACTTTCCTTTTTGGGATGTATTCAAAAATTTGCGGCACTTTCCCTTTTTGATAAGTTTTTCCTTTAAAGATACTCAATTATCCTTACTTTTTCTAGTTTTTATCTTTTCTATCATACTTTTCCACCATCTCTCTTACTTTTTCTATACTATTCATTATCCTTACTATTTCAGTGTTAAAAAATGTGTCAACACCTATTGTAAGTTTAATTTTTCTTTTGGAAAAATTGAAAATAATAATCCCAACTATTGCCAATCCGCTGATAATAATCGCAACTATTGATTATTTTGTATAATCCCAACTATATGGATCGTCCGCCAATAATGGTCCATTGTCAGATATTACCTCCTATAAAAAGTGAATTTTAAATAGAAATTGAGTGTAAAAATTAAAAGTTGAGATTATTTATAGGGATTACTTGCTATCTCACTCCTCATCCACTTTAGAAACTACATAAATTTATTTAAAGGGACCATTATTGGCGTAAGGTCTCTAAAGTTGGAATTATTCTGAAATAATCGATAGTTGGGATTATTATGAGCGGACCGTCGGAATTATTACTATCAATTTTTCCTTTTCTTTATTTGACAAATAATGGTAAGTTTAATATTTACTCTTAAGAATGATTTTCAATCCATTTTTGGAAGACTAAAATAAGGAAAATGAAAAGTTTTTGGAAGACGGAGTCCTTCCATAATCAAGTTTAAGGAGACCAGTGAGTAAACCCTAGCCATAGCCATACATACATCCGTAAACCCTTCCGATTCCTCCTTTCAAACCATGGCGCCCGAAATCGCCCCTGTAGATCGACCTTTACCCGCAGCATCTTCGGACGAAGACGCAACGTCTTACGCAACATCCGACGAAGACGAACAGAAGTCCGAGCAAGAAGAAGTAATTGATCAATCGGGATCCGATTACAGCTCTGGAGGGGAACACGAGGTTTTCAAGCCAGACTTTGGTCAGAAACCCCAATCGTCTTCGGAATCTGATGATTCCTCTGCCGATTCCCAGGAAGGTGAGGCCTCACCATCCGCATCCGGCTTCGCCCTACTGCCCCGTGCAGCTTCCAAGACTACTCCGACTTTCTCCCCAAACGTTACGGAATCTCCGAAGCAGGTATCTTCAAGGCCATCTGGAAAGCGTGACTTGGAGGCCGAAATGAAAGATTCCCAGAAGAAGAAGAAGAAGAAGAGCAAAACCGGGGAAGAGGTTCCGCTTAAGGAAGTAAAGAAGTCTGGGGCTAATCGACTGTGGAGTGAAGATGATCAGATTGCTATTCTCAAAGGAAAGATTGACTACGAGGCCGAAAGAGGAACCAGGATGCGTCCTATCTCCTTCTATGACTTCATTAAGGATAAATTGAATGCTTCTCTTTCGAAGAGTCAGATAAGTGATAAGATTAGCAGGCTTAAAAAGAATTTCTTGACCCTTTATGAGAAAGGTGAGGTCCCTACTTCTGATAAGCCTCATGAGCGTATGGTTTATGAACTTTCTGAACAGATTTGGGGCACTTCTAGTAGTGCCAATGCTAAAAGTCCTGATGGTACTAGTGATATTGCTAAACCAAATGCAAAAAATGCCAACGGGAAGAGAAAAAGGCTTGCTGAGGAAAACGACATTAGCCATTCCATGAAAGCTGCTGAATCTGAAGCAGTGAGTGAAAAGAAGAAGAAGAAGAAGATTGGTCATAAGGACAAAGAGAGTGAGAAGAAAAAGAAGCAGAAGACTGCTCCAGAGGAAAAAGATGAACAAAGTCCTGCTGTTGAAAAAGATAAGCAAACTGCAGGTAAGGGTAAACACAGCCATTCTGCCTCTAAGGTGGAGAAAGACAGTGAGACTGATAAAAGGAAAAAGAAGAAGCGGAAATCTGCTCCAGAGGAGAAATATGAACAAACTGCTGTTGTTGAAAAACATAAGCAAACTGCAGGTAAAGTTGAAGGCAGCCATTCTGCCTCTAAGGAAACAGACATCCAGACAGATGAGAAGAAAAAGAAAAAGAAGCAGAAGAGTGCCCCAGAGGAAAAAGATGAACCAACTGCTGTTGTTGAAAAGGATAAGCACGCTGGCGGTAAGGGTAAAGACAGCTGTTCTGCCTCCAAGGAAAAAGACAGCAAGACTGATGAGAAGAAAAAGAAAAAGAAGCTGAAGACTGATCCAGATGGAAAAGATGAACAAATTGATGCTGTAGAAAAATGTAAGCAGATTACTGATAAGGGTAAGGACAATCATTCTGCTTCTACGGAAAAGCAAAAGCGGACTGCTAATAAGGATAAAGACAATCATTTTGCTTCTGTGGTAAAATACAGCCTGTCTGTTGCTAAGGTAAATGATGGAAAAGGTGACTACATTGCTGCTAAGGAAAATCATAAACAGGTTGCTCTGAAAGATGCAATTCATGGTGAAGTGAAGAATGAGGAAGGGGATTTTCAGTACAAATACCCCTACTTGTTTGACTCTTTCAATAAGGAAAACTATCCAAAGACTGATCAGGAGACATTGGATGTGTTGAAGGAAAATGTGATTCTAATTGACAGTTCCAAAGCTGCCGAGCTTGAGAAGACATGGACCAAACTGTGGGAACAAAAGGTTAAGTTCTTCGTGAAGGTGGGAGATATGTTTGCACTGCAGGCTAGATTTATGCTTGATGCTATGAAGAGGTAACTGTGAACCTGCCAGGTCTGATTTGATGTATGATATGGAACATAATTTTTTGCACTTTTGATAACTAAAGTTGAGATTCTGCTGCTATTAAGCTGTTAGTTTGAATGTTTCTTCTCGTTTTTTGGAGTTGGTTAGGGACTTAGGGTTATGTTTTTGATTTCGTAATCATGATAAAAGTTTATCATATTTAATTATGATCTTGCCTTCAAACAAAAATATGTGTTTATCGGGTCCTAAGATCACCCATACTACATCGATAATTTTTGAAAAAACTATCAAATAAGCTCCCAACATTTCAAAAAAATCAATTAGACCGCCATACTGAAAGTTAAGGGGTTTGTTGGGCGAACTTTAAGTAAGGAGGTCTAATTGATTTTTTTGAAAAGTTGGGGGCTTATATTGCAAAGTAACATTCAAATTAGTCCATGACATTAAGTTTCTTTAAGAAACTCACTGTGAAAACAAGATAGAAAACATTATATTACCTGTAATGAATCCGAAAAAAAAAAACTGGATTAGAGACATAAGGTCAATATGAAAAAACATGTGTTAGAGACATAAATGGTCAGTGTAATGGATTGTACCTCACGGAGTATTTTTTTAGATCATTGAATCCTATGTTGTCTCCTCTCTTTAAATTTTAGGCATTGAATTTTGGAAAACCTCCTTGGCAATCCTATTTTAGGAAATGGTAAAACGAGACTGTTGATTCTGTCACAGCAACCTTCTTATCAAAGGGTTGCAGGGTACAACTGTACAAGTTTCTACTGTTTATGTTCAATTTTTCTAGTTAGTTTTATTAAACACCTTTGATAAAAGTCAATAGTGCATATTGGGATTTATGCAAATGTCTTCACTATTACTCCTTCCGTTTTCATCTTTCCTGTTTGATCTATCCAAACAAGATTGCCTCCTATCAAATTTGTTCGTAGTAATTTTTATGTGATTCTAGATTGCCTCTTAATTGTAAGATTGCCTCTTACAATATTATCACTTTATTAATTTCATATCCATCAACACTTTTCTTGGTAATTGCACATCCTCCTTTTGTACCAATGTAGAAAAAAAGGAGAAACTAGAAAAATTGCCTCCTTTGTTAATTGCCTCCTTTTTGTACCAATGTCAAGGTGACATAGGTAGTACTACATTTGTCGATTTAAACTTTGTCATCTTTGAAACTTGGACCAACTCTATATTTTTATTGGAAATATTTTATAGTATATAGATATAATAAATCTTTAAAATTTATAACTTTCATCGTAGAACTAATAAAATTGTGTTCAAACATTATGAGATGACAAAGTTTTAAGAATCGGGAAGGTGTTTTGCAATTTTTTCTTCATTTTTTAAAGTTTTTAACATAGAATGATTTCCCTCCTATTTTTACCAAATCAAGTATGCAAGATATAAATATCTATCTTTTAACTTCTGTACATTTTAAAAAGCCTCTAAAACTTTTTAAAAAAATTAAAATTTTATTTTAGAAGCAACACTAAGGAGGTTACTTCTAAATGTCGTACCCCCCTACCGCATGTCCTTACCCGATCTCGACCCCACCCCCACCCTACCACATGCCCTTACTCGATCCTGACCCCACCCTACTGCTATCCTACCTCACCCCAACTACCGTAGCCAACCCTACTCCTCCCCTACCTCACCCTTACTCCTAACCACGACCCCACCCCTACCACTTGCCCCTACCACAGCCCCACCCCGATCCTGACCCCACCCTACCATCATCCTACTCGCCACCCCCAACCCCACCCCCTTGCCCTCCCACCCTACCCCATCCCCCGACCATACCCTTTGCCCCACCCCACCCGCCCGTACCTTCCCTATTTTGCCTTATATATAACACATATGTTGAAAAGTATACTTTTTAGAGGGCAAGTCCTTAAAGGTTTTTTTCATAGTATATTCTCAAAGGTGTTTTAAACCCTTTTCTGAAGTATTTTTTAGACAGTTTTTTTTTTAAATATTCAAATCACCATATCATCACGGTTTTTTTAAAAGTATCAGTAAAATAAAACATATATACACAAATATAATTAATCGTTAACACATTATAGCATCATTGCCTCTTCCATGGCTGTTGTCTTCCTACACCTGGCGCCAGGTTGACCTCTAAGAAACGAGTAACATAGGAGCCAATCCTCAACTAATTTGTTTGTATTTAGAACAATAAGAAGAGTAGGAGATTGGAGGTAGAAGATGGTGTTTATACGAAGTGATTACCAATGAGGTGTTTATATTCAAAGTGAAATGTAACTACTTCTAATTAATTACTCAGTTGATATTTGTTATTCTTAACAACTATTAATCAGCTTAAGAATAGTCTGTTAGAGCTGAACTATAACATTTGTCCACAAAGTGATGAAAAGGAAGCTGCCATCAGCAGCAGCACATGGCTGCGTGGGACAACTAAAGGGAAAAACAGAAAATGATAGCCAAAAAAAAAAATGATTTATATCAATGAAAATCGATCAGGGGCAGTGATATATCAAACATCAAATCCGGGAGAAAAGAATGATTCATTTTTACAAAAATAGGACCAAAATTTGATAGTGTTTGCGGTTTAAGGACTTGCCCTCTAAAAAGTATATATCGGAAAAGATGTATCCAGAGTCGAATTTTTTGCTAGAAAATGTACTTTCCGTCGGAAAAGTTCTTAAATTACAATGATTTATTAGTTACATGACCAAATTTGCATGCGAGTAAAGTTACATGACCAATAATGATAACTGGAATTTACAGGACTAAAATTGCAGATTTCCCTTTATTTAAATTCTCTATTATTACTTTTATTGTTTATTTTGATTTGCATAGCCATTATTACAATTAATCGTTTGAGAAAGCTTGCAAGTTGCAACAACTCGTACAAGGGCCTATTTGACCCTTTAGCCTCTTTTATTTTTTAGCAATTTTGGCACTTTTTAACGGTTGAGGGAGTGAATTGAACAACTCGATCGGGTTCAGGTGCTTATTTGACCCCTAAAACTGTCACGTCAGATGCACAATTGGCATTTGACTGGGTGACATGGCGTTGACCGGACTATTAGCTGCAAAAAGTAAAATTTAAACTTTTTTGTGGAGTTTAGGGTCTAAATTGGAGTTTTTTTTGGATTCAGAGGGCAGATTGAGCATTCCAGACCGGTACAGGGGCCTAGTTGACCCTTCAGTCATTTCCACTTTTGCTTGGTTTCTAAGTGACAATAATATAATATGTTTGATTTATCCTCTTTGAAATTTCAAATTCTTTTTTAGATTATTTGTGATCAATTGTTGATGTATTTGTATATATGTTTAGTATTGAGAATGCATATGCACATGGAATACATGTGAGGTTTTTCTTAGTATGACTGGTTTGAATTCTCATAGGACTTCGGACAACTATGTACGTTTTGGCTATTTTTCCCTCTTCAAATTCCTAAACACACTCATAGAAGATAATTCATTAAGTTTACACACTAGATCTACTTCACATTGGAAGCATTAACTTAATTTATATCATTAACTATAATTTCTACTCCAAACATCATTTTGTTGTGCAAATTTAAACACCAATAAAGATATCCTAATATCAACACAACATAAATTATAATGGGCATTTTCTTATCGTGCAAAGCGCGTTGCAGAATTAGTTATTCTTGATCAATGAATTAGGAATTCATTGAGTAGATGCAATCGTAATAGATGTGGTAAATTGTAAGCATATATAGTTCAAATGTAGACTAGAAATGCATGTGCACAACTTCAACCTGGATGACACTAAGACTTGATGACATGATTTATTTTATAGAAAATTATGCTTAATTATTGTGTTGTAAAATATATTGGACAGAACATGGTTTTGCATCATGCGGAAAATCACCTGTAGTCAGTGTCTCCCGTAAAAGATATAATGTATAAACACTTTTTCAATTCTCTTTCACATAATTTTGTGGCTAATACTTAAAATACCTTTAAGTAAGATATTTTTATAACAGATTTCAACTTTTTCTGCAAAAAGAGTTGAATAAGAAAAACATTTATTGATCTCTGAATAAAATGTGTGAATAAGGTGTTGGGGTATTTTGAAGCACCTAACCAAATTTAGAAGGAAGACATTTGAAACTTTGAATTAAATGATGTTTGATTATATAATGACTAAAATTACTAATCACTATATTGTGAACACCTAAAATGTTAGTATAATGATTTGGGATTGAATCCTGTAAGGATCAGTTATGCAGATAAGCATTGGCACTCAATTTGATGATCTTGAAGTACACATTGTACAATGATGATTTTAATCAAATACTTCCTCTTTTAAAAACTCTTGAAGAGTTTGGTGACTAATGTCCATCAAATCCGCTCAATGACTTTGGAGGTTTATGTACTGAGAATTTTCATCACCTAAACATAATGAACAATTGTTTTGAGGTGAAAAAAATAATTGGCCCAGAAGATTAGGTGTTATTTTTTTTCCTTAGCCAAGTTTTGTTCCAAAGAGTTTTGTTGGTCAATGGTTTTAACAAGGTATTTTGTGACTTTCAAAGAACGAAAAGGATACATAAGATTTGAAAGACTAATATCTGATCCTCAAGAAGAGTGTCTTTAATATTAATTCAGAAGATAGTGCCTTGTAGGTGTTAATTGGTCCTTGCATATGCACTTTTTTTTTCTTGTGTCAAGTTTTGTCTCATAGGGTTTTTTATGTCAAAGATTTTAATGTGGTGGTTTGTTTCTCTACAGGCCCATATGTACTGGCCCATTTCATTAGTTGTAACTCTAACCCTACTCCCCTCCTATATATGACATTATATGTGGATGAAAAGATTGACTTTTGATTCGGCTCATCACAAAATTTGCTTTTGACTTGCTAAGAGGGTTGCTTTCCGATAAAAATAATCACATTGAATGTTTTTACAAAGTAAATGTGTTAAATCATACTTTTATTATATTAGTATATGAGTTTATATGATGATTTGATTATAGTTAAAGGATATGTTTGACCCTTTTTCCTTATGTAGAGAGATACCTAAATAACAAATAAATGACAAGATGTAGATAAAGTAATACGAAGTACTACTTAATTGTAACTTCAATATGAAGTTGTTACAAAATTCTCATATAATTAGGAAAACTCCCACATGGAACAACTTATCAATCACTATTAGTGAAAAATATTTAGTCTAAAATACTAACCGTATAGTCAGATTAACACAATAAACCGTATAATCAGATTAACACAATAAAAAACTTAGTCTAATTCACCGTATAATTATACAACATTGTGTTTCAATTTAGGACTATATAAAGAAAATAATGAAAAAATTACCAAAATAGCTAAGGAGTAATACTATGATATCATCAATAGGTGTACTAACACTTCATTCACCCACGATCATCTCTATAAATGTACTAACATTTAATACACCCAATGTCATCTCTAACACCAAGTTGAGTGTATATAAAGAATGACATAATTATACATTTAAGACTACAACAAAAACAAAATTAAGAAAAATGAAATCATTTAACTATAGTGACTATAGTAAGATTTAGTTATATTTTTGCAAAAATTATTTGAATAATATTTTTTTAAACCTCAGAATGGAAGATGATGATGATGATGATGGGAATTGTTTTTCAATATTATATTGCTTCAAGTCCAATGGTGTAAGTAGGGCGGGAAATTAAGGTGACCTGAATAAATTATTCATCTATATAACTATTTATAATATTTCACACCAGGCTTATTTAAAAGTAAAAGACTTCATAAAATTTGGGGTCGCTAATGGTATGGGTTGGCTCCATTGGCTATTTCCGTGACTTAGATAATCGTTGAAGTCACGGGAGTAGCCAAGGGAGCCAACCCATACAATTAGCGACCCCAATTTTTATGAAGTCTTTTACTTTTAAATCAGTCCGGTATGAAATATTATAAATATTTATATGGATGAACATTTTATTCAGGTAACCTTAATTTCCCGCCCTACCTACACCATTGGACTTGAAGCAATATAATATTGAAAAACAATTCTCATCATCGCCGTCTTTCATTCTGAGGTTTTAAAAAAATATTATTCAAATAATTTTCTTTTAATAAAAAATTACATGTCCCTTACATTTTGTTTATATAAAAGGAAATCCATCTGTATCACTGAGAATTCGTCTAAAAATGAGAAATTGTCTAAATTTATATTAAATTTCCACTACAAAAAAGCACGGTACTGGCACAGAATTGGCACAGATTGATCGAGTTTGACATGAATCATAACATATTTTTTGGCACGGCCTCGTGCCAAATAGCTCGTGACAAAACGACGTTACACGGAATTTGGCACGGTATTATGTATATGTGCAGAATCCGTGCCAAATCCGTGCCAAATCTCCTACGAATTTTGGCATATTCATGCCAAATCTGTGCGAATTTCATTATTTTTTCTGTAGTGATTTATGATACACAATATATGTACACCACGTATGGTTGTTTTATAGACACCGATACCTCATGTGGCATTAGTTATCCTTAAATTCGTCTACTCTAGCTCTTAGAACCATTAAAACACCCCAACACTCCAATCTTATGTATCCAGGACTATCTAAACATATATCAAGTTAAGATATGTAATCAGAGTTTTCCTTCATATTTCTTTCTCTCTTTGTTTTTGCAGGCGTACGTGTCTTCGACGATCGTTGGTGTTTAATTGTTCATGTTGTGGCCATCGTGTATGGATCAGGTAGAGGTAGACTTTCGTCGGTACTATTAAATTAGCATTTGACATTTTGATTTCTTAAAACTTGGTTTGTCAATCCAAAATGGAAAATTGCAAATTACCTAGCCATCTATTGGTTGACGTTTTGGCAAGACTACCTGTAAAGTCTCTGATGCGATTTACGTCTGTTGTTAAATCTTTCTATAAATTGATAAAGAGCGATCTTCAGTTCATGCACAAACACTACGAAATTAGAAAAACCAAACTAGGATATGTTGTTATAGAGTCAAGAAATGATCAAAGTAAAGTTGTAAACTTGATTTTCAATGAATTAGAGTTTTACGTGATGGGGTGTCGAAACATAGATATACCACTTTCCAATTTGAATTTTGGCATATAAAGTGTTTGTATGGCGTGTTATGTCTGATTGTCGGCAGAAAGGATCTATTTTACCTTCGATTCGGGAAGGAGATGATTTTTGACTTTGTGATATGGAACCCATCCACCATGGAAATCAAATCCTTACCCGCACTTGAGGTTTCCTTCCAACATTCTGACAATCAACTACACGTACTACCTGTAATGTTCGCAGTGAATGATGGAATTGGTTTTGGGCTTTGTAAGAACATGATATGGAAGATTGTTGGTCTCTGGAGCTTTAACATTTGAATGGTAATGTCTACCACAAAATCATAATGGTTGGTAGTCAAGTTGGTGATTCATGGTGTTGGAGGAAAATTGATGCAACAAATCTTACTTCTAAATATTTGAATATCATTGAAGATTTTTATTTAAAAGCAAAGATACTATTGGCGGGTTATGGAACTTTCCCCAACTTTGTCTACTTATGATTGTGAGCATCTTCTTTGGTTTGACATGGATGATGAGGTTTTTGGGACGGTCGAGCTGCCATCTCATATTGGATGTGGTTTTTTTACAACTATGGATAAAACCATTGCTTTGTTCAGTTATCCAATTATGCGAACAATTATCAGATCTAGATTTGGTTGATGCTTGAAGATGAATATCACCATATTAATTGGTATAAACACACATCCATAGACTCTCATCATTATCCAGATGAAAGACCAATAAGAACCTGGAATTAGGCCTGGGACCGGTTCGGTTCCTAGGCCAAATATGTGGAACCGTTTGAAAATATGAAATTTTACTAATGGTTCGGTTTTTATAAATTATTTTATAGAACCGATAAGGAACCGAACCGTTCTTAACGGTTCGGTTCTTGTCATTTAACGGTTCCTAGTCTTCGAAAAAATTCTTACAAATCATGACTAAATTTTTGCCAAAAAGACATTATACGTTTGAAATTACGATACAAATATGCTTAAACAGTTAAATAGAATAATAATTTTAAATACTTTGGACCTTCAAAGTTCCGACCCGCTGGAGTTCTGACCTAATGAGAGGCCTAAGAAGCCTAAGAGAACCGGTTGAAGTGAATAATAGTTTTAAATAGTTGAATAACTAAACTAAAATAATGAATGCAATATAAAAATAAGTAAGTAAATATACATAAAAATATATATACTCATAAGAAATATATATAATTTTAATTATTATATACTCCCTCCGGTTTTTAATAAACTTCGCACTTTCCTTTTTGGGACGGTCTAAAATAAACATCACACTTCCTTATTTCCTTTTTTGGCAAAGAAATCTACTTCAAAACAGTGCCAAACAGTGCCAAACAGTGTCTCTACAGTGCCAAACAGTGTCTCTACAGTGCCAAACAGTGTCAAACAGTGTCTCAACAGTGTACTCTACAGTAAAGTCAAATTTTTTTCCTTATTTTGTGTGAAGTCAAAGTGTGAAGATTAAATAAAACCGGAGGGAGTATAACGGTTCCTTAACGGTTCCTAGTACATATTTTTTTCAGGAACCGAGAACCGAACCATTAATAAAAAATAGGAACCGAACCGTTAAAAAATAACTAATAAATGTTGGAACCGAACCGAACCGGGTCATAATGGTTCGGTCCGGTTCGGTTCTCCGGTTCTTGGTTCCAAAGTCCCAGCCCTACCTGGAATCACTGTTTTCTCCTATTTCCCCCAATTCCAAAAACTAGCTCGTTTATATTTGATACAAATTTTGCACCATCTATGATTTTCACTGATTTGGAAACTATGGAAAGGAATATTATGTGTGTCAGAGAAGAAAGGAAAAACATTGACATTGCTTATAACTCAAATGGTTGCGTTCGTGTATACTTTGAGGGAATAACTCAAGCTCGAACAAACGGCCCCACTAGATAACCTCTCTGAAAGATTTACAATTAGACGTAAATCACATCAGAGACTTTACAGGAAGTCTTGCCAAAACTTCAACAAATAGATCGCTAGGTAATTTGTAATTTTCCATTTTGGATTGACTAATCATGTTTTAAGAAATCAAAACATCAAATGCTAATTTAATAGTACCAACGAAAGTGTACCTCTACCCGATCCATACATGATGGCCACAACATGAACACTCAAACGCCAACGATCGTCGAAGACACGTGCGCCTGCAAAAACGAAGAGAGAAAGAACTATGAAGGAAAACTCTGATTACATATTTTAACTTGATAAAATTTTAGATAGTCCTAGATACATAGGATTGGAGTGTTGGAGTGTTTTAATGGTTGTAAGAGAGGAGACGAATTTAATGATAACTAATGCTAGATGAGGTCTCAGTGTCTATATAACAACCATACGTGGTGTACATATATTGTGTATCATAAATCACTACAGAAAAATAATGAAATTCGCCATATTTGGCACGAATATGCCAAAATTTGTAGGAGATTTGGCACGGATTTGGCACGGATTTGGCACGGATTCTGCACAGATACATAATATCGTGCCAAATTCCGTGTAACGTCATTTTGTCACGAGCTATTTGGCATGGAGCCGTGCCAAAAAATATGTTATGATTCATGCTTTACTCGATCAGTCTGTGCCAATTCTGTGCCAGTACAGTGCTTTTTTGTAGTGGAAATTTAAAATAAATTTAGACAATTTCTCATTTTTAGACAAATTTCCAGTGATACAGACGAATTTCCTTTGATATAAACAAAATGTAAGGCACGTGTATACAAAAACGTGTACACACAGCTTTTAAAAAAAATTGAGTATTACAGGGTACATCATTTCCTCTCTTTTGTTTTTCTTCTAATGTTCATTATTTCTTTTCAGACATTTTTTTATGACTTCTATTTTGTCTCCAACCTCTTCTTCTTCCCTCCTCCTCCTTCTTAGATTCGTGCTCCTTATGAGGTCTTAATTAATCTTCATTATCTCTTCACTTGATTATAATCCATAAAAATTTAAATTTTTTTCTTGATATTATTATGTTTTTATGATGCACCTATTATTTTTAACGGTTTAAGTTTGTAATTGCCTGTAGTGTATAACTTATTATATTTATTAAATCTTTATTTTAGAAGAACATGGCTTGAACGGGTTGTAAGAGATTCAAAAATTGAACATGTATTGAAGTTTGTAATTGGCCTTTTTATGAATATTACTAAATAAAATACGAATGACAAAAATGTGGCTTAGTTTTAAATTTTCCAAAAATGTGACTTACCAAATCATTTATGTTCATATTAAATCGTACAGTTATTATTAATTGTGGTTTTTCTTTTGGGACTAAGGCTTGGATGTTGTTGTATTATTAATTGTGGTTTTCCAATTTCCTTAATAATTACGTAATCTTTCTAACCACCTCAATGCAGCCAATGCCATCACAAGCACTGCTGCCGGTTTCACTTCTGCCGCTGCCACCACCACAAGCACCGTTGCCGGCTGCACTTCTGCCGCCGCTGTTGTTAGTGACCACATGCTCACTTACATATATTTCAATGACTAGCAAGTGCTTGGTGAAAGTCACTGTCTAGTTAGTGACACCGTCACCCCGAAACCTCGATTAGTGACTAACCACCCTCCATTTATGAACTGCCGCCCCAACCCGTAGTAAAAACTCTCCTAGTGACCTACCCTAATCACTGATGTTCACCTTAGTGACTCAGTGTTCAGTGACTTCTAGTACTCAACCCCTTAGTGACTAACTCAATCACAATGTCTGTCCACCACCGGCCATCACAAAACAACCTTCACCCCGAGCGATAACTATAATGAAGTTTAATATGGTTTTACACCAACAAACTAATTAATAATCCTTCCCTAAACACCGATTACCGGACAACAAAATTGCGGCCACCGGTAGCAGACCCAAGGGCATAGTGACCAGCCCCACCAATCCTACCCTCCTCCACCAGGTCACCCTAGCCCCTTCTCAGCAGTCCCACCCTAGCCCCACCAGAACTGCCTCATATCCGCCCTACCCCTAGCCCAAGCCCAACCGCCTAGATCTGAAAATAAATGCCCTCAAACTGGATCCAAATTCTGAACAAGAAGGATAGAAGAAATCTTGACTGGTTGTATGAGCGTCGGAGTTCCGGAAGTTTGCGTCGGAGTTCAAGATTATCGATGGCATCAATGACTTGTAGCATGTCATATTGGCGGCGGCGGAAGCTCCTTTGGTCTGTCAAGGTAGATGCGGAAGATGGATGCAGAAGATGGAATGAATTGAGATGTGAATGCAAATGGATTAAATGATATTACGTGGCAGCCAGTCAATTATCAAAATAAGATCGGAATTAATTAAATCAGGTCACTTTTTTGAAAAAAGGAAAAGGAGTAATATTTTTGGAATTAAAAGTCCATTAGTAGTATATAGGTCATTTTTTCAAGATTCTTCATTTTAAGACATTTTTTTTTTCATTTGTTTGGACATCTGTGTGTAACACATATAACGTGCATTACTGCTATTGGATTATTGACATTTATTATAATTTCATTTTAATGACACATTATATATCTAGAAACAATATTGTGAAAGAATGGTGTCGGAGTTGGCATAATTAGTGGAATTGAACCACTAGACCACACGGGTTGCCCCTTAGCTACACCAGACACACGGCCTCAACGGTTCTCACATTAATAGTACACAAGTGTAGACATAAATATGGTAATAGAGTCCTGGGAAACTCTTGTATGTAGATACCTTGTATGTAGATACCTTTGAAGCATTGTGGATTGGCATCTCCAAGGATAAGATTTTGAAAAGTATGAATAATGAGTGAAATCAAACATACTCGTAGTGCCCGTCAATAAGAATGACGATTCAATGCCAATTAGAGAAGAATCGGCTCTATTAACAATTTAATTGTCTCTTTTTGTGACGTATCTCTAGTAGGAATGACTGTAACCTGATCCGAAGGGAATTATCTACTATGTTCTCCTTTCAGCATTGTTGGCATCCTAACCAGACTTTGAAAATGAAGCCTTTACATTGAAAGATTCTAAATATGATTGTTACAACATCTGATAATCTTGGGAGATTTAAATTTGTTCTAAATCCTTCTATATGTCCCTTATGTAGATCCAATGAGGATTCAATGGGTATTTATCCTACCAATCTGGCGCTACTTTATGAGTATCCTAGGAATCCATCTCACAGCCCTACAAATGCTAGCTATCAAGCAAGCTTTTATGTCATGGTGGTTGAAAGCGGGCAGTAAGAAGCTCACAGTACATTCATGCACAACCTACTTGGTATAATCTGCTAGCACATTCAGAAAATCTATGCAGATACCATTTGGGGCAAGGGTAAACCTATTCCATCCCCGGATCCCATCATTTCTCATATTAAACTTTTTACACAGAGCTGGATTTCAAGTTATACTAATCAGAAAATTAGTTCGATGGGGGATATTCTATGCGAAGAAAAACTTATTCCAACGACCTTTAAAATCGTAGATCTGAGATTCAAAATCATAAAGTGGCAAAAGGCTTGTGGTAGGTTAAAATTAAATACGGACGCCTCATTCTTACCTCATAAAGCTTCGGGGGGAGCTATTATGTGAAACCAAGCCGGTGAGCTGATTTTTGCCATTTGCTTTCCTTTGAAGGTTTCTTCCCGTCTAGAGGCGAAGCTTCTCTCTAATGGTTGCTACTCTTTGGGCGCTTGATGCTGGATATGAGAAATTTCAAGTTGAAGGCGACTCGACGGTGGCGTTGGATTTTATGATTGGCGGTGGATCGAGGAGAT